GCCTAGAAAACTCATCTTGCAGAAGTTAGGCCGCCATGTTAAAAAGACCTAGAAATCACAGCAAGGCCATTTTAGGTCATTTTTAGGTCATTTCAACGTGATGGCCTAACTTTTGCAAGTTGAGTTTTCTAGGCCAGCTTGTTAAAATGGCCATAGGACCTAAGGCTTAGGTTTTCTAATTGTCCAAAAATTATTATCTAAAATGATTCCAGAACCGATGAAGACGATCCATCACTGACCCAACGTCGCTATGGACCATCTATAGAATACTTGAAGGAAATCGAGTGCGACGACAACTATTCAGATAAGAAACCCATCAAAATCGAGGAACCCCCCGCGAAACAGATGAAACTAGAAGAAGGAGCGGTGCCACCAGATGAGGAGGTCAAGGTGAAAATGGAGGTGGACGATGAGCAACATCCTGATGACGTGGCTAAATTCGAGGAGGAAGAATGCATGATACACGTGGCAGGACGCACCGTCCCGTTGAGTCAAGTGACACCGAAAATGGTTGAGGAGGAGATGAATGAGCGAGAGCAAGAGGAGTACTGTACTGCCGTGCAGGACCTTTTCGCCTTGTTCTTCACTCAACAGTGCTCGGTTTATTGATTGTTTTTTTTTTGTGATAATTCATTTTTTCCTTTTTTGTCCCTTTCCCCCAAAAAAATGCGGTTCCCCATCTGCAGTATTTTCGGAGTAATTTATTTTTATTTTGAGCAAAAATTTTTAAACTCGGGTCCGAAAATTGGATACAATCCAAAAATTTCAAAAAAAAATTCCTATTTATCCCAAAATCTGGAATCTAAAAATTTAAAATTTTCGAAATAATCGATTTTTTAGGCCATGACCAAATTATTTGAATATTCTAGGCCATGACCCAATTAAAAAAAATTTTAGGTCATGACCTAATTTTCTGAATTTTCTAATCCCCAAATTTGATAAGTTCGATATCTTTTGGAGTTCTAATTTTCCGAAAATTTCAGATTTTTTTAAAAATAGATTTTTCGGAATTTTAATTCATTCGAGTCTCAAAACCGGTAATTTTGAAAAAAAAAATTGAAAGAACGAAATTTTCTAGTTCATGACCTAAATATTAGAATTTGTTCCTTTTTTCCCTATTTCTCCCCCAATCAGACCCCATCCGTTGTCTTCTTCCCAATTCGTTTTTCATCTCTCTACCACGTGTCTCTCTTTTTCTGTGTCCCCGAATCCATCTGAAATGTTTATATCCTGTGTTGTCTCTGTTCATTTTCACAACTCTCGTTTCATTTTTTTTAGTTATTTCTTAAACATACTTTTAGCAACAACAAAAACGATTATTTCGTTCACAACACTTTATTCATTTTCAGTTATGATTAATGTGATCGCAATGCATGTCATGTTAGGTGCCGACGCTTTGCTCTATTGGGAGAAAGTTCAATAGAGCGTGTGCAACAAATAGTAATCGAGTAGTTAAAGATTCTCCTTTCCGTCGTGATGAACAGAGCGGGAACGAAGACGCCAAGAGAGTTCAAAAGTGACCTCTTGGCCTGGTTTCACAGAATATCGCTGAGGGTGTTTGCGGATGATGTCGACGATTTGGTCGGCGGTTTCCTGGAAATTAAATTTTTTTAAAAATCGATAATTGATTTTTTAAATACCTCTTGAACAGTCCCCTTCACGTCGATATATTTGGTATGATCATAATTCGCGTAGTGACACGAGATGGCTTTTCTGAAACCGTCCGATCTATTCGTACCGGATCCATGGAACAAGTTCGGATGGAAGAATACAGTATCCCCTGCTTCCATTTCTACGTATTCACGTGGCAGAGACATATCGTAGTCTTTGATTGCGTAGTAAGCCTTGTTGACTCCGCCCTCCCAATCTGGATATCCGTGGGCTTTGAGGCCTTCGGTTTGGGAACCAGGAACCACTTGGAGACATCCGTTCTTTTTGTTGATCTGAAAAAAGAAGGAATTTTCTACACCTTTTTGGATGCGTCAACTTTGAATCAATTTATCTCGGTTCCTATTAAAAATATCGAAAAGTCGTCAACTGATAAATTGCTTATCATAATATTAGCAGCGTTTTGTTTGTTTACCATTTTTCAGTATCTTTCACAGGAAATGAGATATATGAGCTCAAAGAGGATGAGGAGGATGAGCTTATTTGAGCTTATATGTTGAATCAAATTCATATATTGTCAATTCAAAAAAATCAAACTTGCAAACATTAAAAATGGTTACTGTATCTTAGGCTCCGCTCTTTTATTTTTCACACGTTTTTGGGAGGCTTTCTATTCATAGTAACCAACCTTCTCCATCGCGGTCCACGCACAAATTGTCAAATCCTCGGGACGCCATGGAAAGTAGATCAAATCCTGATGCATCGGATGACGGGACGTTTGTTTTCCAGTGTCTGGTGGCTTGTTGATCAGCATTGTGTGCATTGCTTGGATACGAGTCGCCGGAGAACTTCCGATGAGGTCACGCACGACGTTGGTCACATGAGGATGCTCACAGTAGGAGAAGAGCACTGGCTCTTCGGCGAAATCTTGCACTTTTGTGATTGTGTCGATGCCTAGAAATGAGTTTGAGACGTTTTTATTACCCGTCATCTTTGAGCCGATATATCTCATTTTCTGTAGAAGATACCAAAAAGTGGTCAACTGACCATTTGTGTATTATATAATCAAAAACAATTTGTCAGTTGGCCACTTTTCGATATCTTTAACAGGAAGCGAGATAAATTGGTTCGACGTTAAAAGTTAGACAGGCCGTTTATTTAGGTTGATTACGGTAAGTAGAATTTGTATCTCACGCATTTTCTACAGTATCCTACATTAATATTCTACAGTACCTAGAAACGTCGTGAAACATTTCCTTAGCCGAAATTTTTTACTTTCGAAAGTTCATCTATAATTTTTGAGTTCAAGTTGAATATCGTTATATTCCACACACAGGTGGATCGCGAGGAACGTTATATGGGATCGCGCGGTGCCGTATATGCTCGCAATACGAAACATATAGGGGCGCATCGTGCGAGCATATAGGATTCACGCGCCGACTAAAGAATATAAGATCCACGCCGCCGCGCAGCAATTCCTCCCCTCCCCCAGGTCCTAATATTCTCTGTGAACTGAAAATAGTGTTTACCAGTAAAAATTTATTGAAAATTAATAAAAAGGACAAAAAAATGAAGTGAAAAGAACATAAAAAAAAAGAAAAAAGAAAAAAAATTAACATGTTTGTCTCCTGGCTCCTTGGACTCGATATTTTCGTCGCATTTCTCCCTCTCTATATCCATTAGACGACAGTCCAATCGAGAAGTTGCTCTTGGTTGTTTTTTTTTCTGAAAAACTGAATATATTTTGAAAATTTTTGATAGTTTTACTTATTCACACCGAAAAATTTGTCAAGCCTAGTACTTAGAAAACGAAGCTGCTTTTGCAAATTCGTATACATGAGAGAGCTGAATTTCGTGTGAAGCGATACCTCTAGCAAATCTTGGCACGTTTTTCATCATGTTTCGAAAGCTCCGAAGAACTGGAGTCATAGACACAAGAGTAGAATGCTCCTTACAAGTTCAGTGAAAACAATTTCGCAGGTGTTCTTTTATCGAATAATTTTCGAGCGTTTCAAACACAAAATTCGCTAACCTTTTCGTTTTTCTGTCGGTGCTGTTTCTTTCACTTGTCGTGTGGCCAGTGGAGACGGTGAAGGGGTCACCGAATTCCGAGCTCCGCTTCTAAAAAAATAAAGTCAGTGAGAAACTGAATGTCATGCATGTTTCTTACCTGTAGCTATCCGCCGAAAACTTTTGGTTTTCAGCTTTAGGTAGAAATGTGAGGCGTTGGAATCCATCGGTGGGCCTAAAATAATTATTTCTTTAGGAATTTATGTGTAGAAACCCGAGGAAAACGGCTAGAAACGATGAAAATGAGTTCGCAAGTGAAAAATTTGTAAAGAAAACCTGTGAAATCGTGAAAAATTAAAGAAAATCGAACAAAAATAGGCAAAAATATCTGCAAATTCATCGAAAATCTGAGTGTAGATTTACGGTAAACAACGCGCGATGCGGGATGTCGGAGCGTCGTTGTGTACTTTTTCAGCGGAATTACCAAATTAAATGGGCAAAAAAATCCGATTCATGTGGAAATATAGAATATTGTGATGTAAAATAAGCAGACAGAGCATAAGGGCATTTTATGGTAACATAAAATCCGGATTTTGACAGGTTTTTTTTGGAGTAAACGTCGCAACACAGCCTGCAGAAAATGTTGAACTTTTCAAAGACAAAATTCCCATCAAGTTTAATGGAATTCCAAGCCTAAAATCCAGCACCTGTATATGTTTTCCGATCTGTCTTGGTTAACTACTTTTCACCGATAACACTATTTTTCGATAGTCAACAGTCATAAATACAATTCTTTGAGAACCAAAAATTTTATCCTGAGAATATCAAGAGAAGAGTTTCAAGCTATTATTTCTGCAAAAAACATTTACATGTTCTGTAAATGCTATCAGGTTTCCGTGAAGACACATAATAGAATGATCCACCCCTTCCCCTTTAACTTTCAACTTTCAGCTAATTTATCTGGGTTCCTGTGAAAGATATCAAAAAGTTGTTAACTGACAGCATGTTTTTGATATTATAATAAACATTTTGTCAGTTGATCATTTTCTGATATCTTTTACAGGAAATGAGATATATGGGATCGAAGTTTACAGTTCTCGAGCACTCGATTAGAATGTTGAGAGAATATGGAACCTATATGCGAGCACGGACTGGGCATATGCTTTCCCTGCTTACTCGACGCCCACCACCACCGACCAGCAACCACCAACCCATATAGCGGGCATAACGAACGCTATATGCGCGGATTCCCAGTATGGGCCACAATGCGCCCATATAGTGTTCTGCGCGATCCACCTGTGCATATAATTGTTTAAAGGTGGAGGAACAGGAGATGTTTCGGAGGTTTTTTGGAGTTAGGGTATGCATTCTGCCGTGACGGTGTAATGTCACTCTGCGTACAGCTGTCGCTTTGTCTTTGCCCGCGTGGCTCAGTCGGTAGCGGCGCCGCACCCTCAATCCTCGCCCCCACATGTTCAACTCCTCGAGGGGCATATTTAAACGGAATTTCGAGAACATTCTTTTTTTCATGTCTCCCCAACTTTAATGTTTCAAAAACAACGCTTCCAAACTCACTGTCAGGTGTGACTTTTTTCGCAATCGACACATCTTTCATGACCAACATGCTCGCTGGTGGCTTCACTTTTCTCTCGCAAATCGCCTAAACTTCAATCTTTGAACTTCTTTATTTTGAAAGAAAACCAACATTAAAACGATCTTCATACTTTTTCAAATCCTCTCTAGCCACACAATTTCTAACAAGAAGAAACCCATTTTTCTTGTAGAACTGCTTCTGCTCCAAACTCAACACGTTACCCGGGCGGGTCCAGTCGACAACGGGTTCTGGGGGAAAATTTTGAAAACCTTGAATATAAAAATAATGGCTTACTGCTAGCAAAGCCTCGTGTCGAGATCGCTAGGAATCTAAACGATTTCATGACGGCGAGAAATATAACTTTTTCGAAGTTTGGCTTTCTTCTAATTTTCCCCACGTGGGTTTCTAATTAAGAAAGCTACAGTTGTCAGAGGTAACACGTTAAAAAAGGATTTATCAATAAGTAACAGGTGACTTATTTTTCAAAAATTAAACATTTTTAAGTTTACAATATGAAACAAAGGAATATCGAAATTCAGGATTTTTAGGTTATCTACAAATTGGATCTAGTGCCATTAACCTCTCTAGCACGAACTCTCCAAATGTCAGCGAAATCCAGTGTTACGGTATTTGGGTCCAACCCATACTTGGTCAATCTCTTCTTGGCGATTTCAATGATCTCCTCCGCCAAATTCTCTTGAGTTGTGCCCTCCACATTCACGTAACGACAGATGTCATCGTTGGCGTAATGACAAGAAATGGCTTTGCGGAATCCTTAAAATGTCCAAATATAGATATGTCCATCTTTTGCCTAATTTTTGCCCATAGTAAAGTTTTGTAAACTAGTGTAAATGGTGAATTAAAAAACTACCTTCGGTTCTATTGGCTCCGGATCCATGGATAAGAATTGGATGGAAGAATACTGTATCTCCTGCTTCCATTTCCACATGAATACGTGGATTCGAAGGATCATAGTCTTGAATTCCATGGTACGCTTTGTTGACACCACCCTAAGAAAAATGAAAATGCGAACCAACTAAATCAGGAGATTCTCATCGTCTTACCTCCCACTTTGGATACTCATGAGGCAGAAGAACACCCTTATGAGTTCCTGGAACAACTACCAGGCACCCATTAGCTCTATTGATCTTCTCCATTGCAGTCCATGCACAGCAAATGAAGTCAGCTGGACGGAATGGGAAATATTGAAGGTCTTGGTGCATTGGGTGGCGAGAGGTTAGTTTTCCTTTAATTTGAAATGTTTATATTTATCCGAATCAAAAACCCTCACCATTGTCTGGAGGTTTATTGATGAGCATGGTGTGCATTGCCATAACAGTTGATTTTGGATTTCCAATCAAATCCTTCACCACATCCACTACTCCTGGATACTTACAGTACTCGAAGAGAACTGGGTCATCAGCAAAGTCTTGAATCTTTGTGATTGCTTTTTCTCCATCCTTGAATTCAGACTTGGCAATCGAGATGTCCTTCATCACTGTCATATTATCAGGAGCCTTGACCTTTTTCTCGCAGATGTCCTGGAAAAGAAACCTAGATTTAAAAACTGTCAGAACTTAAAACTTCCGCTAGCTCATTTTGGTTACAAATTTAAATATCAAAAACTAATAATATAAATATCTAAAGTCCCAGAAAAATTACCTGAAATCTCTGTCTGAATCTGTTCAATTCATACTGTGGTACACAGTTTCGAATCAACAAGTATCCATTTTTCTCGTAAAACTGACGTTGCTCGGCAGTTAAAATCGAACCTTCCTTGGTGTAATCTACCACACCGTCGGTGAGCATTTCTGGAATTTTTGAAGCTAAGTTCTATTGTTATCATTATCAGCAACTAATTGATTGAGCAGTTAAGCAATTAATTAATATCAAACAAATAATATCAAACAAGTAATATGAAACAAATAACAAGTAAACAGTTCAAAGGCCAATGAAACGCTAAAAATAAGAAGGGAAAGTACTTTTGAGGTAAAGAAGATACTTTTGGAAGAAATCAAAGTTTTAACACGCGATGTTATCAGAAAATGATGGGGTTATGCACGTAATAAATTTGCAATAAAAATGGCAAATAAATACACAAAAATACTATGCACGAACGCAAATAAATTTATTTATTTGCATACAAAAAACGAATTTGATTGCAATATCAGCCGTGAAAAAATTTTCTCTCGAAAAAAAATTGTGAGAGGAAATTTCCACGGCTGATAATGCAATTAAATTCGTTTTTTGGATTCAAATAAACTAATTTATTTGCGTTCGTGCATAGTATTTTTGTGTATTTATTTGCCATTTTTATTGCAAATTTATTACGTGCATAACCCCATGATGGCTTTGTTTTCTGAATCCTTTTTGCAAAAAATAGAAAATGGGAAAGTTATAAAATAATTACCGTAAGACCTGTATTAGAAGGGACCTCCGATAAAAACGTGGAAAAAAGAGAAGAACCCCTATAATAAGAAAACTCAAAAAAAGTTTTGTTTGAAATGAAAATTTTAAGTAAGCTTTCAGTGGAAAAAATTTTGAACATTTGTTGAAACATATTTTTGCTCAAAAACGTGCTCAATTTTAGTGAAATTGACAAATTTTCATAAATTTTGAAATCAAGAACTTACCAAATTCTTCGATGAAAGCCCTCCGGAAAAAGTAGGGACAATAGGAGGGTTTTACTTTTAAAACAGGTTTCACGGTATTTGATAAATCTACCAAAAAAAAAAATAGATGAGCCCCCTCTAATTGAAGAACCCTGTAATAGGAGGTTTTACGGTATTAGTTGTCTGAATATGTATTTTTTAGAATTAAAAAAAACTTGAACATTATTTTTTAACGAGTAAAAAACATTTTGAAAAAAGAAATTATAAACTTGTCTCTTTATATAGATACCCAAAACGAATAAAAAACAAGGTCAATGTCCATTCTCAGGATGCATCCATCTTCTTCCTCTCGTTTACATGATATGCCTACAACTTGATCAAAATAGAATCCAAAAAGAGAAGGATTCTCTCAATCGACACGAACACAAGAAGAGAAAAAGAGAAATGAGAATTTACTGTCTTATCAACACTCCCCTTTTTCTCTCTTCTTAATAAATACCAGTCTAGTTGATCGCCCGCATCATCAGTGTCTCATGATATGGAGACGGAGGAAAAAAAAATAGTGTCAATTGCCACAGTGTACCGTTATCGTACACTAACCGCTGTTGTCTATTTTTCTTTGATTATGCCTTTGACACGTAATCAACACACATGGAGAAAATTTGAGTTTGGCACGTTTTGTGATTGGTGGGAAACCAAGATGATTGGGATTCCGTTTTTAGGAATCTGTGAAACTTTTTTCGTTAAAAAATTTTAACAATCAGCTATGGATACTATGGTAACCATAATGAAGAGAAAAGGAGAATCTCATACGTCACAAAAATATCAGAACTTGGAATCAAAAAGCAATGAAAAGCAATGATCGGTTAAAAAATACTAGAACAAAATACCGTGAACACTCTAATAAAGTGCCACCAAGACCGTCCACTTCAAGCTCATATTTCTTGTTTTCCGTGAGAGATACCAAAAAGTTGTAAACTGATAAAATCTTTTTTCAAATTATGATGAATATTTTATCAGTTGACTAATTTTTAATATCTCTCATAGGAACCGAGACATATGAGGTTAAAGTGGACGGTTTGGATGGGTGCGCTAGTTTTGAAAAAAACACGTTTCGTTACTTTTCAAAAAATAGTTCATCTTTATAATTTTGATAAACTTGAGAAAATATTAATTCATGCAAAAAAAAACAACAATTATCCTTCCAACTTCCTTTATTAATTTACGAGTTTAATTTAAAAAACCCAATCCTTCTTCTCCACATCCAACATATGATACTTATAGCAACAATTACTGACCAGAAACTGTAGATAACCACCACGTCGGAATCGAAACTTCCAGAAACGTTCCTGTGTTCGAGACTAGGCAGTGGATCTGAAAAAGGGATTTTGAATTACAGATTAGAATTTAGCGCTCACTTGCACTTTCGTTCTAATAATCGTCGTGCTAATTGGTGTTGTGGTCCAGGAAGTGCCAAGAAGTTTCCAGAAGACTTCGGAAGGTGGCAGAAGGCATCAGAAAACTCCAGGAGACATCCGAAGACCAAGGATGTTATACCATGGGACGATGATTCCCGTCGTCAGATCTTCATGAGGGAATGGAGTCTTCTGTAGCAGAGAGCTCTCCTTATATGGGATTCTGTTATCAGTAAAGGTCATCTTGCCACGTGGAATTATTTTTAATTGTTCTGTTTTTTGGTACGTGGCCTCGTCATAAGTTTTTTTTTGAAAATCATTTTTTACACCAATTTTTTTTGTCCAAAATTCACGCAGTTCCAAAAAAGTAAAAGAAAAAGTACTCTCTATATAAGCCAGTGAGATTCTCCAGGAGCTTCAGTCTGTGTTCAGCCGATTCTCCTCCAACCATGAAAATCCTCATCGCCCTTTGCCTTGTCGTCAGCCTCGTCTGGTCCAAGGATCCAAAGGATTACGCAGAAGGCCCGGTTCATTCTGTCAAAGATGGATAAAGCTTTGGAGAGCCGCAATTTTGTCAACTTCCTCAAAATGCATGACAAGAACTTTCAGTTCAAGTTCTGCAATACCACAGGAAACTCGGTCAGCGATTTGGAGCATGTGTTGAAGACTGACCGTTGCCTGTCTCACAAGGGCAGTGTTTTCAGAGGGGCGTTGAGACATTGCTCAAAATTTCAGTACTGATAGTTTGAGATATCCGCAACACGATGACGAAAAAATCTAGGTCATAACCCCACCAGGAAGCTGAAAATCTTCGTCTGAAAATTCTGCCCGATTTGGGCGCGCACTTTCCCCCCTCTGCTATACGCCCTCCGCGCCAGAGGAAAATGTCGGTTGTGTGGTGTAGCGGTAAGAGGGTAACTCATTAGGTGAGACTCCGCTGGTTCGAACCCCACTGTGGTTAACTTTTTTTTTCGTTTTTTTTTCAATGCTGTAACGAGAAAATGCTGAACTGGAAAATTGCGAAACTATGCGATAACGTGAAAATGCTGAACTTGAATTTTCCGAGAAATCCAGAAACGACACTTTGCCGAACTTTGTGCGAAACAAACCTGAACGAATGTAGCTGATTTTTGCGAGATTCGCTGATTCCTCTGAACTTTTGCTGAACTTGAGTCTCGCGAGACGACACACTAGTTTGAAATACCGTAATATAATTTATGAAATTTGATTTTTTTCTGATTTCATGGCGCAGCTTTTCAGCATAAATTAATCAGCTAATTTTTAATCAGCTTTTTTGGCATTTAAAAATTCTAGGTCAGAATATTTGATTTCAAAATAGGTAAAACTTATAAAAGCGAGGAAAAACACAAAATGAGCCTAAAACGTTCGATTAGGTTGATATGAATGAGAAGTTACATTTCTTAGAAAATCAACTGAAAAATTCAATTTTTCTAGGTTTTTGCTAGCCTGTTCAAATTCCACCGATCGTATGTTTTTTTTTAATTAGGTAACATTTGTGCAGAATTTTCTGGGGAACATTTTGATAATTTTTTTCCGGAAAAACTAAAATAAGGGAGGAGATAGGATTTGGTGCAGTCAGATTAGTCAGATTACTGTAGATTTGTGTGAAAAATTTCATTTTTTCCAAAATTCTTTGCTTGTTTAATTGGCGTGTTATTTTCGGCATGAAATTTCTGGCTTGGATTGGCGTGGAATGACCTGGAAAGGGAAGAATTGAGGGGAAAAGTGATGCCTAGACTCTCAAACCCATCACTATGTCGGTTCACGAACAAATAAATTTCTTTTGAACTTTTTGAATTTTAGAAGTTTATTTTCTACGTATTTTCTGCTTTCCGTTATTAATAGTGATTAAAAAAAGTGACGCCAAATTTTTAATGACAACTTGCCCGACTTTTTCTTAAACGTTTCTTTTTCCTGAAAATTTGGTAAAATGTAACAACTCAAAAATGACATGCAATCAAAATCGAAAAATGCTCTTATTCATTCAGAAGGAATTGAAAAAAAATCCTGATAGGTTCCTTGTTTGAAGCCGGCTCACAAATACTGACTTCGATTGGTCGAATGCTTTTTCATCAATTTGAAATTGCTCTCCTTCGAATCGGATTTCCCCTTTTCAGCCGATTGTGTTTCCAGTCCCAACTCCTTACTAACTTTCAAGTTCAACTCCGTAGTATCTTTGGAATTCGAATCCTTTGAGATTGTATCCTTGAAAATCTTATCCTTCGAGTTATCCTTCTTTGTAAGGGGTGATGGAATATGAACTGGAGATGGAAGTGGTGGAGGTCCTGATGTTCCAGTCATCACACTATCCTCTTTCTGTACAACTGTCTCCTTGACCTCCTTGATCTCCACTTTCTGCGTCGCCTGCATTTTCGGCTCTTCTGCTTCTTCTCCATCCTCTGTCGTGGATTTTGTGACCAGCGTGGGAATCGGATGAACTTTATGGCACTTGTGATGTTGTTCCGGCTCTTTCGGTGACTTGTGATCTTTTGGAGATTTGTGCTCTTTGTTGTCTTTGTGGTGATCCTTGTGATCCTTATGTTCTTTGTGATCTTTATCCTTCTTGATCGGGTCCAAAATCTTCTTCTCAACACATTCTTGAGCCTTCTGAACCGGTGTATGATGTGGAGTTGGCTCTTTGGCAACTGGCGGACCTGGAGCATTTCCTTGTGGTTGAGCCAGTGCTGGAGTGGATGGAAATGCAATGACATGATCGACTTTGCCACGTGTCTGGATGAACTGTTGAATGTTCCAGGTCAAAAGTTCAACGCGCTGGAATAAAAAAGAAATATATTTCATGCGAGAAAATTAGATTCTCACATCATCCAAATCTGAATCATCCCAATATCCATTGTCTTTTCCATAGTTGAGTATGATCTGGACAAGTGTCATGTATTGAATATCAACTTGGATGCTTCCAGCGCGACTGTCTAGAAATTAATTTTTTCGTTCATTAATCTCACCGTTCACTAACTTCTCAATGCCTTACAAGTTGCCAGAAGATCCAACTCCTTTCCATCGGTCAGAATCTGAAGACACGCTTCGATGGCGACAAACGTTCCAGTACGACCGATTCCAGCCGAGCAGTGAACAGTGACTGGTCCTTGAGCCGAACGAACAATGTAGAGCATACGTAAAAGACACAGGGTGGAATTGGGGACAGAACGGTCAGGCCAAGACTTTGTGTGTAAATGTTTCAAGACATGCTCTTTACCATTATCCTTGGTCTTCACCAAAAACGTTCTCTTGATGATATTGGCATCCTTGTCATCCTCCGTAGAACACATAACCACCCATGGTCCATAGCTAGTCATTTCTCCAACTTTATCCGGAAAATATTGCTCACACTTCGGCTTCCCATCCTCGGTCACTTCACACAGCATCACAATGTACGCAGTTTTCGTGTGCACAATCATTCTCCAAAAATCAACAACAGTGGCAGCAGTTGGACCTTGAGAGAGGATAAATGGGGTGTTGAGGCCATTGACATAGTTTGCATGGATGTAGTCGTTGTCTCCACCGTCATTCAGAACCACACGAGTGATGTCGTTACAGACAACATCTTTGTACCGATTTTTCGTTGGGTTCGCGTCAAATATTTTTCTCTCCATTGGCTGGCCAGGATACGGTTTAACCTTGGTCAAGAATTCCGTGGAATATTCAGGTGGGCTCTTCTTGACAGCGTCCGTCGCAAACTTGAGGAACACTTTTTTCTGGATATCCGTTATGGTGGCAGATTCACCCTTTTCACCTTTCAGCTGAAAAAAAATGTTCTTTGGGTGTGCAAGATTCCAAAAAACTTACCGGAATCGTTGAATGAGCCTTTTCAATGTTGAAATGCACTTTCTTGTCTGGATTCCAGGCACAATGGGTTTTTCGTTTACGTTCGGTTCCCTTCTTCTTTCTTCTTTTTTGCGTACTCCCGTTTTCCTGTTTTTCCTTGTCACCATGCATCACTGAAAGTATTCAAACTCATCAAAAATATACTTTTTTTAATTTCTAAAGTTTGAGATCAATTATCAACTGCTATGCAAGATACAAAAAATGTGTCAACTAATAAAATATTTCTGATATCAAGATAAACAATTTATCAGTTAACAACTATTTATGTCTTTGACAGGAACCGAGATAAATTGGCTCAAAGTTGAAAGTTCGGTTTTTCTATAACACGTTTTACGGTACAATCTTTCAGAAACAGACTTGTCAGAATTTTTTGGGTGTCCTTTTTCCCCAACTCACTAAATCCCAATCTTCGAAAAACGCCAGATCTTCTCGTCGTCTTCTGATTATCGTCACACTTCTCCTCCGACGGCTTCTTTGTTAGTTTCCGAGACGTCCCATCGTCTTGACTGTTGTTGTTGTTGCCACGTGTTCTTTTCCGGTGCATTATTCAAACGATTGATTCGTTTTTCAAGATTTGAAACATCAAATTTATGGAACGATCCTCTTCAATTTTTGTGTGATGAAGTCCTTGGATTCTTGTCTTGGAACGACGAATGAACGTTGACGACAATGGTGTGGCGAGGATGGGGGAAAATTCTAAAATGACAGAAGTTATGAGAGAATCGATCGATTTTTCCATATTTATGGGGGAAGGGAGAGGGGAGATAGGATCAAAATGGATCTTTGGAGTAGCACGTTTTATATTTGAAAATTCGTGATAGAATTTTGGTTGCACGACCTATTAGGTTGACAACTAAGTCTTTGTGCACTTTTGTTTTCCTCGTTTCTCTTAACTGAGCTAGAACAGTAACGTGTGTGTAAACGGATATGATATATAAGATGATAAGGTTGTTCACAATAACCATCGTTTGCCCTGCTCTCACTCGTTTCCTGTGAAAGTTATCAAAAGTTTGTCAACTGATAAAATGTTTGTTGATGTTATGATAAACAATTTCTCACAACAGTTTACATTTTTTCGTATCTTTAAAGTTAACATTTAGGAAGCCCTCCTATTACATGTTATACGGCAGGAACTTTCACCAATGTTACCAGAATTTTTGAAAGCCGGATTTTTCCCCGAAGCAGTTCAACTTTCATCTCCGAACTTGATCTTTGTCGCTATGTCTTCTTCTCTATTTCTTGTCTCATTTTCCACGTGAAATTGGGTCATAAAACAGTTACATATAAAACTGGCAAACTCTCTTATCAGTGAACCCCATACTCCCTCAAGTATTCAACTATAATAATCTAACCCAACTCTTTTCAGGCAAACGAAAGCAACCAAAAACTCAAAATTAAAACCCAAAAACCTGATCCTAATCCTAATCCATTTCAGATATTTCAGATATCTATTCTTATATTTTAAGATAACCAACTTTCATATTTTTTTCAGAAGAATACGACGATTTCTGTAATGTTGGAGAGAAGCATTCAACGTTTCTGTTTGCCTATGCTGCCGATTTTGATGTTTCCACTTTCAACCAAATGACTCAACTTGTTATTCAGTCGGTTACAGCGAATAGACATAATTATACAAAGCTTGCAATTGCTCGATTTGATACAAATGGTGCCCAGGATGCTATCACATACTATGATGATATTCAGTGAGTTGGGAAACTAGTTTGTTTAATTTTTTAGAATTTTTGGAATTTTGCTGAAAAATAATTTTCAGACCCTTCTCCGCGGCTTTGACCAAAAATCCACCGAATCCAAATTCTGCTGCTAGCCCATCAACTCCTTCCAATGTTCTCCCAATTATTTCCGTGGGTTTCTTAAAAATTCAAGGGGTTCCGAAAATCTTTGAAATCTGAAAAATACAGGAATGCACAAGATTTGAATAAATTCAAAGCAGTGTTTATAACGGAACAATAATGAAAACATTATTCGAAAAGTTCTGAAAGTTTTGCAAACCCTGAAATTTATGAAATTTTATGGAAATTCTAAAATTCGCAACTGTTCTGAAAATCTTAACATTTATAAATACTGAAAGTTTGAAACATAAAATTCAATTAATTTTCAAATCCCTTTCTTTTCATTGCTTGAACAAATGTACCGTATCTCATTTCCTGTAAATGATATCAAAAATTGGTCAACAGACAAAATGTATATTATGATGTAAAAAATATTTTTATAGTTGACCAATTTTTGAGATCTTCAACAAGGACCGAGATATGCGGGTTCAAAGTTGAAAGTTAGCGGGAAGCTTTTTTATTAGAGTGATTACGGTAACAAAGTTATCAAGGTGGGTTGCAGTTTCGTATTTTTTAAACTAACTTTTTTTGCATCTTTTTTTGAAGAATTTCAATATTTTCCATAATCATAATTCTTTCCAGAGTTTCCTCTCCGCTTCGGGCCGCCCATTGGAGAGTTCAATGGTGGTTCTTCTCCTCAACAGATTCCCAGCCCTCAATGCTGATTTGAGTTCGACTGAATACGATACCATTACGAACAACAATGTGAAGATTTTCCCAATAATTTCTGACACTTCCTACGCTACCCAGCACTCCATGGTTTCTAGAAGCTCCAATGCATTGACCTCAATTTCTGCAAATAGTAACTCTCATTTCATGATCGGTAAAGTTGGAAGCTCATTGGTTCAGGTAACTCTTCAGTCTTGAAATTTTTTTAAATCTAATTTTTCAGACTTTCCAATACCTGATGAATACTGCCTATCTGGATAGTTTGGCTGCTACCAGAAGTTTTGTGGATAATTTTGGATTTGCACAAAATACAATTGGAAAGTTGAGAGTTCCACATTCAGAAACTTCTAGTTATGTTAACTTCACAATCACAATCAGTGCACAAACTTTGCAAAGTGAGAAATAGAATTTTCATAAAACCCATCTGAAAATTTTCAGACACCACAACAAACACCAATGGTCTCAGCCTTGTCTTCTACCAATCTCCAAATTCCCAACAAATTGTGAAATTCGAGCCAGGAAGTCTCTCGAATACCAATTTCTACTATGCCACAGTTCAATTGAAACAAGGGACCACTTATCAAGTTCAATACAAATCGCAATTCGATTTGGGAACAATCACAATGATCAGAGTTTGGACAGAAAGTGTGTTGTATCATTATGGATCATATGCTTCGTTGGATGATCCAATGGGTGGAGTCACTTTGGACAAGGTGGATGAGTATCAAGGGGCTGCGTTGAGAATGAAGTTGATGAATGATTGTTATACCACCCATGCGGTAAGTGCAGAATGGAGAGGACCGTTTTTCAAGCAAGACTTTCCAAAATTCCGTAAGCCCTCGAATAGAAGGTCACCTAATACTTGCACTTCTAGCTTACTAGGGAACTATCTGGAGTCGTCTCCAAGTTGCACTTCATGACATATATCATTAGAAAGCCCATGAAATTCTGATTCGGAATCTGATATCTGTTTTTGCAAAACGGCGGGGGAGCTTCGAGAAAATTAGGTCACAAGACAATTTAGTGCTAGTTAAACCTTTTGATTTTGCATGGAAA